TTCTGGCAGAGTGACTGTACATTCCATGTTTAATTTAGACATCGGAGAAATTAAAATAAAAAAAGTCAATCAAAAAAAAAATGTTCGCATGATAACAAGGAAAATACTCAGTATATTATTTAATTGTAATATATATTTATTTCCTTATTTTTTTTTGATAACGAAAAGTATATTCTAAAAGAAGTAAAAACAAAAACGAATGCATTCTTAGTAGCAAATGATCACGGTAACAGTCATGCCGCGTTTCACATAAATGAATAACTTACTTGTTTTCAAAGTGTTACAATTGCTGATTATTACTCAGTAGTGATTATAATAACGTACACAAAATAAATTCGTTGAATTGTTATGAAAATTCAACTTAGTTTCACCGAAAGCGAATGATTTCGGTCACATATAAACACTCGATCCGATACGATATCCACCATGTTTGTTAAAACATCTTTAGTGACTGTTTTTTGACCTGATAGGTCAAGTCGCTAATTAACCAATCAAAACACTGGATAGTGCCAACGTGATGATTAAATTACCATAGCTCATTAAAATATGTTAATGTAGTTCAGCGACCTCATGGTAAACGAAACACAAAAGAGATTTACCGTTGTTGTAGTGCGATCATTTGGCTTTGATTTTGATGGAAAAACGGCATGATTTTTTTTAAATCGAGAAATTAGTTGTTTTCGAAAGATAAGCTGAGCATTGAAGAAGAATTTAACACTTTTGACGATAATAACAGCTCATTGTCGAAACGCAGTTTACCCATTCACGCTACCCACAATAAACCTGTACTCTGGAATAAGCGTCAATGACTACGGAAAACCTAAATTAGACTCTAATCTAAGCGTCAGGAATCATTGAAATGTTCGAAAAATTCTGCCTTAATTTAAAATTTAATGGTACGGTATATCTTTTTCTGAAATATGTGGTGGCTGTTTGGTTTGTGAATGTTTGGGGTGCGGCTTATATTGCAGGCTTTTTCCTGGGATCAAAACTTGTCAATTTCAACATGAAACAATGTCTCAAGTTAGGGGTGCGGCTTCTATTAAAGCTGCGGCCTCAAATATGATTTTTACGGTAGTATACATGTGCACATCGTTTCTTGTTTTGGTGACATCTGAATGACTGGTGGCAATTTTATTAAAATTTCTGTTAGAACCAAATCTCTGTCATGTATGAAAGGAGCATGTACGTACAGTGTATGTACTTGCATTCTTTTTGTAATCTAATTCAAGAGGACTGCCATTGCAGAGCTAGAAATTCATGAAAATCAAGCTGTCATTCTAGAACTGGATCTCAACAGATTGGTTCATATACTGCTGTTTATAACGTGTTGTATATACTCCCAGACATTTAATTATGCTGCCTAATCTTTCATTGTTTATAAAAAACTTGGACAGGGACTACTTATTTGATTATGACATATTATGTATTAAAGTTGCTGCAATTACATTTACATCAAGGTGAAGATAGATATTTTGAAATTCCTTCACTTTGTTTTGGCAATGTAGATGAATGCAGGAACCCAGTCAAAATAGCCAGTTATATGAACTCACTGTGACAAGGTACAAATGGACCTTGAACAAACAATTACTTTTTGGAGGTGGCTGAATTGATAAAACAACAATTTTAATTACATTTTCTCAGTGGTTAAATTTGAGTTTAGTCAGTGATAACCAAGTTGTAGAATTAAAAATGTCTATGCCGGTCAATGATGTGATGAACTAGGTTTTTTTACCAATAAAAAATATATCAAAGTGGAATAATAGCATTTGCATGTGGTTGAATTGCTAATGGAAATAACAAATTATTGTTTTCAGCAATAATCAGATGACCTAACTATTAGTATTGTGGTATGTGGAGATTTCTTGTTAGTGAGGAGTTGTTTAAGTATGATAAATGAATTCTTTTAGTGTAGCCATCCCTTGGGATAATATTATTTGTGTTGTTTTTTTCTATAGGAGTCTTGAAAAAAAAAATGTCTCAACAAATATATATATTGTGAATTCGAAATGGTTGTTCTCTTTATATTGGTGTATTGAACTTCCTACTGTTACAACAGGGGCATGCCATGAGCTGGAGAAGATGGAAGAACCAATGTGGCATTTGGTAAGGCGTCTCCTCAGTATTGTGCATCTAAACTTGTGTATTGTATCTTTGATAGACAACACACATTTTACTGTGTATATTAAGGGACCCATGTGACACTATATATGGTTGTCAATGTATAGCAGCACATCCGTACATGTACCACACATTCATGAAGAGACACTTTTTGTAATACATTATGTGCGGTTCCCATGTACATAAAAAGACGCTGCTTTTACATGTACATAATTCACTGTACACCACACATCAATAATCAGATTAATATATTTACTGTCTTTTTTTTTCTCAATAAGTCTCCTGATGTCTACCTAATTGTGTGGATAACAATAGATGTTGTGTCCGCAATTATCATTGTCATCATATTCTTTATCCAAAGGTAAGTACATGTACTATCATGATAATTTCTATTTTATTAATTTTTACTTTTCAAAATAGACTTTAGCCTTAAATCCTCTCTAGGCAATTAAAGAGCAGATATGATGCAGATTTTATTAAAACAAAATGCAATAGATAGAAAACAAAATGGAAATCAAATCAAATGGCCCGTTTTGTCATTTCTGTTGATGTGGATGAGCAGATTTACAAACTAGACCAGTAATGGACGTTCTATATTACTTTTATCACTTCATTAAATTGGACCAGAAAAAAGAAAATATCTATTCATGAGTTGCTAGACTCTGTTATCATTATTTAATAACTCGTGTTCACCAGTCGATATTCATTTATTTGGATATCAAAATCCTTTGTATACCGGGTATTTACAGTGAGACAGGTTTAACGTTATACACTTTGAACTGTTCTAACATCCTACGTATGTCTACACGCAGACACCGATATTCAGAACACCACGTTGCAGAAACTATTTCCTTAGCTTCTGTCAGTGAACAATTCAACCAAGAATCTGCAAGCACTGTTAAAGAAAAGTTTCGAGCACTCCTGACGAGGTACAAGTGATTGTTAACCCCTAATCACCCCTAAGTTTTAGTGTAATATCTCGTAAATGTGATTGTAGTGCTTGTCTTCTTTAACACATCACTTAGTTTACCTAGTTGCACTAGATAGCAAGTAATCATATAACCAACCACTTAGTAATACATTGTATTTGCAAAAAAATCACTAAATTTTGCAAAACGGGCCTTTCAAATTAACACCATTCTTGCAAGTCTACTCTTGACATATCAAATATAAATCTAATCATTTTATGATTAATTTTGAAACACATTGTCATGATACAATATACTTCTATAACTAACTAAAATTAATATATAATTTTTATAGTATAGGCATAATAAAACATGCATTCTGTTTCACTCTATAATACACCGCTTAGATCATGTGTGTGCTATCCCATAGTTTTTTGGTCAAAGAAAGACTGATATTTGGCATATATATATTTATGTTACATGTAACAGTATTTAATTTTTCTTTACAGAAATATTTAGACCTTTTCACAGGCATTGTCAGTTCTTGTACTTATAAATTATAAACATGCATTTGCGAAAAATATTTGAGGACTCTGTCGTCATTCTCTCTTGTTTCTGACTGTGGGTCACTGTGTATGTGCTACAAATTGAATACTGCAAACCATTTTAATTTGACAAGAGCCACATTTTTTTATCATGAAAATTGCGTATTTTGTAGCAGTAAACATTTCTTTGAAAGGTACGCGCCATGGAGTGTCAGTAACATTAAGCAATTTTTTTCTTCGCGAATGCCATAAAATCCTGAAATTGCAAAAACGGTTTACAGTATATTTTAGGATAAACTTTCCTTTTTATGCCATCAGATATGTCAAATTATAGTCCCTGATAAACCATTGAATAACTATCTCAAAGTGGGATTTCAACGTTAGATATTCAAGAGAACTAGCAAGTTATTTTGACCATTACTGTCTGTGGAAAAATATTACTGTCAACACAGCACATAGTGTTAAACCCATCTAACAATCATGATAATTTCTTACTAATCAGTTTATCTTCTCTTTTTTCTGTTGTCCATGTACAATATGCTGGTGTTTTCAGTAGAAGTCAACAACTGTTGATGTGTACAAACAATTTGTCATACAATAAATAAGATGTCCAACTTCTGTACTGTACAATACTACTGAAAACCCTGTATATAACTATCCTTTTCTCCATTAATGTTGTCCGCTGTCAATTTTCAACAAAATGATTTTACAAAATAATGTGTTACTCTTGACAAATCTGTGGACATTTTGGAAATAATGATTTCTTTTTTAATATAATATACATGTACATGTACCATACTATACATATGGATTTTTATTCTGGCAGCATTTTTGACAAAGAACCAAAAAAACAAAATTTAGAGAAAAAATCATTAATTTTAAACAGATTGGAGTAAATCACAGACTGACTTTAAAACTTTGCTGTGGAACTCTATGGGTATTAACAGGCTGTTATTTTGACAGGAAAGCGCTGTGAAACCCATGGGTGAAACACAAGTTACCTGTACTAAATTACTGTGTACATTCAAGTCATTGTATATTAATACATGTACAGACATTTGATTACAGCATTAGAGACAATATCAAAGGTTCAATGTAGAATAAAAAAAAAAATAATTCCTCAATCTGTTATAGTACCAGTAGGTACCCCCTTCTATTGATCATAAATAAATTTGTCTCATTATACACAAATTGGTGCAAAACCATGTTTTTTATCATAATAAACACCAATGCTAGATTCTATGTGAGGTTTGCTAGATTTGATGATAATTAATCAGTGTGTGTGTGTGTGTCAAATATGAAAAATAAACAATATTTTAACTTTAAAAAAAAAAGTTTTTATGAACAAAGACTCATAACAAAATTGATTTTGTGGGGAAGAGCTTTTCAGGACCAAAATCTCGCCAAACAAAAGAAAAGAAAGTTTTTTTTATCTGACATTGACCTTTTAATGTTGTCCCTTAATAATGCTGTGGTGATATCAATAAGATTTTAGTGAGAATATTAATTATCACTATACTTTCATGTGTAGCTATGTATATATGCTGTATTAGTAGTACATGGCTTTATACTTAAATTAAGGAGGTGTTTCTATGAGAAAAATGAGTCATATTTAGTATAAAACATGTACAATTTTTGGTTTTGATGTGCTTCTAATAGAAGCCAATACAGTATGTGGATTCTTATAGTCAGGCCAACTAAAATAAATTCTGTGTTTCTGGGTTAACCAATGTTGTATTATTTATTCCATGTACTTCCTTCTATGTAGTGAATGACTTAGCACTTAGTTATATGGGAAATATATTCTAAAAAGTAACTTTATATGTTATCTGTTGTTAAAGCATGATTATTTCCTTTCAAAAATCTGGGGGAAAAAAATTATATAAAAATCCTGACCTCTACCTACCCAGTATTATTTAAACTGTAAACCAAAAACACCTAATTTGTTTTATTTGGTCTAAAGAAGCTTGTTAGATGATGTAGATGATACAGGGAAATATGATGCGTTTCAAATTTCTATAAAATTGCCAAAGTTTGAAAGTTCAACATCACTACTGCCGCATTCCAACAAAACAAATTATGCAAACTAATTCAAACAAATTGGTCGTTTGATTGTGGGGAAATCATTTCTCTGATATGTGGCAGCTTTGTTAAAAATTTGCTTTACACGCTGCGGGCATGGTTTTAATAGTTTAACTCTATTTCTTGTATCAGTACTGAAGTACATTTCCTCCACATTATTCTATGTGGCTTAGTAATTTTATTGATACTAATAAATTGTTTTATCACTAATAGACTAAGACATAGACACCTGGACCATGTGCCAGAAGTCATTGGTATGCATTCACCAAGGCGTCCTAAGTCTAGCAAGCGAGATGAAAAGCTAGTGCTGGCACCAAACGAAAACCCAGAAGACCAGTCAATAAGTCGAGATGAAAGTCATGCTAGTATAAACACAGCTGACTTGCCTAATGGGGAGATTAGCACCGACGAATCATTGGAAAGCTTGCCTCAAATGAATCATACTGAAATCCGGGTGGAGTTGAGTTGACTATTTAACCGGTCACATAAATACATGCCTACCGGTACATGAAGTGTTGCAGGCATGCTTTGTAGCTTAGTGTTATGTACGTATTTCACTATTGATACATTAAGTTTGCCATTATGAATCCACCGATAGAATATTCGTCATCACTGTTGCTTGAAATTTGTTGGTGCATACTCACCCAATATAGTATAGCGTATGGTCTTGTAGTTTGTTATTAAAAATAGGCCGCATATTATTGGCATATACAGAGAACTGACTGACTGACTGACTGAACATCATGTTTATTAATATCATTGCAATGAGTTGCCAAGATAAATCAAAACTAGCATTATTTTATTATTATTATATTAATGGTTGGTGTTGAATATATTATTTACCATTAATCTGAATTCTGTATTTATATTATTTACATTCAGTGCATAGAAACTGTTTTTATTTTTTTGAACTACATGTATAGCTGCTCATACGTTATTAATTAATCAGCTTGCCAATTAATACATTTGAAATTGAACCCAAACATATCTAAGAGGTTTGGGGGGGTTGTATATTGCACCTACTTAAACCAATGCCTTGGAATAACCGTTTGCAGGCCAAACGGCAAATGTTAGTGCAAATCATCATATTCAATATTTCTTTTTTGAAATAATGCTTTATACACTAAGTCATGATAGAAATCCCTTGAATTCAGTTGCCAGTAACTTAGAATATTCTGTATGCTCATTTGGTTAAAAGGTAATTTTATTCCCTTTCCTGTCATCACACATGAGCTCACTGGTATGGGGGCATTCAACTCAAGGATCAGACATCTCACTGGTCTATCTTGGAAACAAACAACATCCATTCATTGACCAATTAAAGGTTGATGTACAATACAGTTTGCATGCTATCTACATGTCCCAATTAGGCAACTTGTAATTTTGCTTCAGCTCTACAGAGTAAGGGTAAAACACTACAATACACCAATGCTAGATTTTATGTGAGGTTAGCTTGTTTTATTATTATTTCTATTCCACCAAAATAAGTTGCATTTATAGCCGAATATGTAGTTTTAATGGTAATTACCGGTAGTGTTACCTTGTAATTTATTCTCCAAAGGTGCTCCTATTGCAACATGTTTTACTTGCACACTATGCATTAATTATTTTAGAGGTGACTCATGAAATCAAAATGCTGTTGCTTGAAACATTTTAATTTAATTTATGTAAACGTATATGTATTGACAAGCAATAACTATTATAGGAAGGCTATCTTGGTGTCTTTTATTAGTTATTTATTTCATAGTTTATTTTAGTTGCTAAAGTACCAGCATTTAAAACAAATATTTAGTTATAATGTCAATTCATATTAGGTTGGTTCAAATATGTATTGTAGAACAAGTTGTTGAACTGCCTTACTTAATATATCAGATATCTGGCAAATGTCATTTTTATACATGTTTATGTTCTTATGTGGACTGTAGTTTCACCATTGGCAAGCCAGAACTACAAAAGGATGTAAAACTGTTGCTCAAAATTGTATAGCGTAATGTTACCATGGTTAAATAGTTTGTCAAATGGATTCATTTTCACATTTCTTCAGTACTGTTAATCATAACATTTGGATAGAATATATATCATTTATGTTGGCTCCAAGGAAATTGGACCATACCTTATCTTTCAACGTAGTACTGATTTGTATGTCACTGCATATGGCAAATAAAAATTAACCAAATTTGTTGTCTCGTCTGTGACGTTATTGATCTGTGTTTCCTAAACTGGCAAGTTCTATCGTTGGCCAGTTGATTCAGCTGTTTATATTGAGGGCATATTGTTCTTTTCACACCTTGCTTCATAAAAATTATTTTTGTTGGTAAGTGTACTAACGGATTCCTCAATTAAATTAGCTTGCTATTGGTCTCTTTTTTGGGGGGAACCTTATTGTCCAACTTTTAATAACCAAAGTTTCAATCTGTATTGATATGTGCGCACACATTGTTTTACATTAAAAATACTGGTAGTTAAACAATGATCAATTGCTGAGTGAAATTAACCTTATATTATAACGTTACACTATTGTAAAGTGTGGTAATTATCTGGGAGAATAACCACCAAATGCAGGACACTCTGAGGGGGTCTTAAACCACCTGGGTCATTTATAGAAAACTCACATTCACACAAAGTGAACCATCCTTCTCAATGTTACAAGACTTAAATGCAGTCTCCTTTGATCATCCAAACTGTGAAGTGGCCCTTCTATTGAATTATAAGTTGGCGAGTTATAAAGAAATACTATATTAAAGTAGACTAAGATTACACAGGCATTTTTTCTTTCTTGAACCATTGTACACCTGCACAAAATGAAGTTGAATAACACATGTGCAGCAATATTTACTCTAGACATTATGTAAAATTAAACATTGATCAGTATTAAAATGGAAAATTCCTATATTGTTACATCTTCATTTCTGTTTGAGAGGGGTATGATTTTTAAATAAGCACCAGTAAGCAGAGCCAAATTTAAATATATTAATTTAAAACTGTTCTATATCATATTAGTTAAGAATATTTTTAGATAGAGAACACCTCAAAGTTTCTGGCTTTAGAATCTCCTCTAGCACTTCTCAGTGTCTGTAGTTCTCCAGTTGAATGGAAACTTCACTCTAGTCCTCATTTATGAGAAATATAATCTCAACAAGGCGGGTGTTTCTCACAGAATAAATCAAGAGGCAGAAATTCTTCCTGATTCAATAAATTATATTTTCAGAGATGAACTAACTTCAGTGCTGAATATGCTAATTAACACTGAGGATATCAACAAAAAGTTGCAGTATAATTTATAATATTCCTCACATAAGCACCCAGCTTCAGTGTGAACAGCGCCACCAATGGTAAACATGGGAAAGCTTTGTGGTACATGATTATAATTAGCTCAAATTTGTTGCAACATTGACAACGTACATGAATGCACAAGATAGCATGTAGTAGAGACTTGGCTTTGTTTTTCGTATCAGCTACCTGCATTAATAATTTTGAAGAAAATTTTCAGTGTTTTATAAAAATTGCATAATATGAATGGAATTGCACATACTACATTGTACTAACTAGGGTTCTGAAGAAAATTCATAAAAGATTTGACAAGCACACCAAAACATTCAGTTTGTGATCCACAATGCACACATTTAAAACCTTAGAATGCATTCAATATCACCTGTAGAGGAAGCCATTGTCAATGTTTTTGCTTGAGATCTATTGAAGACAAAAGAGCCAAATGTTGAAGACAAACAACTTACTGATCACCTTTATTGTAGTGAAACTGAAAACGAAAGTCAACTGACATGTTAACTAGTTATTACCTGTTGCAAGTGTTCCCTCCAAACCTTATTTTGAAATTTTTCTTTTTCTTGGTTTCTTTGTGAATTTCATGCATTGTTCAAATGCACTCAATTTATAGTTTGTTTTTTTTGGGGGGGGGGGGGGGGTTACAAACAGATAGGGTTAAAAATTTAGTCCACCAATTATTACCAAGGACTCGTATAGCTTTTATTAAAAACCGAAAAAATTTTAGAAACTCTGTTATGAAAACATCAGAAAATCTGTTCACTAAATTCATAGCAGAGTCCAGATGACATCATTTCATGCAGACAATTCAGTGAACTTGCCACTTCCAGAAGTGCAAATTTATTTTCATATTAAGTTAGGAATTGTGCATTTTCTGAAACAATTTTAGAAAGTATACCTTTTTCAGAGGGAATGTCAATACTACAATGATGCATACACTAGACTATGCGGATAATAGCAAGATTTAATTCTTCCTTTTTGTGTGGAAAAAAACACATGCTATATTGATAAGTCATATAGTACAAAAACTGCTGGGGGAAAAAAGAAATGAACAAGACATGAATGTCAGTCCCAGTTTTTGAAAGGTAAATAACTAAATAAAATGGATATGTTTGATTGTATGTATCACTGAGAAAATAATGATTCATATGAATTTGCTCAGTTTACAATTTTGACTGGTTGTGTATTAAAAATTTATACCATCAACCTAATTTGTCAAAATGAGAAAAATGTACCAATTTTTAATCATGTACCTATTTTGAAAAAAAAAAATCAATTTTTTTTTTTTTGGGGGGGGGGGGGGGTAAATGTCAAGGGTCAAAAGGTAAAACAAATTAAGATGAGCGATGAACTAAATCGATCATAGCATGTCTGCGAAATGACACTTACAAATAAAACCAACATGGCCACCAGTCAACCATTTTAAATCAAATCGCAAAATCTATCATTTGTTGATTTTTGGATGTTTTTTTTTGGGGGGGGGGGTAAAAACAAAACAAACTTGCTTAATATGTATTTTCATCATAACTTGTCGTCGTACCAACTTTGAACAGCAAGGACTAAATAATTGTATTGCTTCAGACATTGTAAACATAATTGAAAGACATTATATAACCAAAGATAACCAAATCACAGTTAGGTTTAGAAAGATTGTACACCCACAGACTTTCAGAATATTTTTTGCTGTAATATTTCTATAATTTTTCATACATGATTTGTTAACTGAATTGTTTCTATGATTGTGTTCTTGTTGTAGTAACTGACATGAGACTGTTACTATTTAGTTGAGCTGTTTCATTATTATCTCTATCAAGAACAGAAGTCTGGTTTCCATTCAAGGCTATTTCATCTGGTACATGTTGTTCATCAATATACATCTTTTCCAAACTACTCTTCATTCCGGAAACTCTGTGTATCGTTACTTTATTGTTCAATGTTTTTTGTTCCTTACAATCTTCGTCATGACCATCGTTTCCAGTAAATATTATATTTTGTTTCCCAATCTTTTTATGTTCCATTGCACATTCCCTAGTTCTATCTTCCTCACAAGTATTTTCACACACTTGCTTTGGACCATCATGTTCGTTGTCGGACTTCTCACTTTGTTTCTTACAGGACATCCGACTCGTTTCATTGTGACTGTCTGACTTGTGTACATCTACTGATTTCTCACCATCAAAGAAATTCTTCTTTTTGACATACCTCACACATTGCAATAAGACGTTTCTTTCATGTCTGATATCACCGGCCAATAACTATAATAAACAGAACATTCATTTTTCATGTTATTTTTTTCTATAAATTCAATTAAAACAATTCTGAAATTACACAGTATAGTTCGCAACTAATGTGACAATTCATTGAAATAATTTTCCTAATTATGATTCTGTCATAGACTAGTCACGGTATGTCTCCATCATCCAGCAACATAGCTACCAGAAAATCATCCCACCACGTACACCCTTCCAACAGCAAACCACAAACGACACTAACAAATATATGTCCATTTATGTTTTCGCATATTGTTATCAATAATTTTATTTTGCAAGATTTTCTTTCAAATTTGTTTTGTGAACATTTAATCAACATTTACGTATCACAAATGCTAGATCCATCAAAATGTTATTTCTGTTTTCCACTTGCCTAACCAATGGTTACCCGCTCCAAGATACATTGCACTGAAAATCTAACGTCTCTGGTCACAAATAAAATAGGTTCCATGTAATATTTAAAACATATATATGAGGCTAAAATAAGAGAAGATTTATTTCTGGTCCTGACTTGTTCAACAAAACGGTGCAGTAAGAATCTTTTCTTTTTTTTGCCATTTGTTCTAGAAAAAAAATGTTATGATCTGACGTGTGCACTGACCCAAAAACGCATCATATTCATTCATTTTACCCAAGCTTACCATTTCTAGCAGTGTTGGTTTCTTTTTCCTACCATTAATGAGACCATTCATTTCTAGCAGTGTTGGTTTCCTTTTCCTACCATTAATGAGACCATTCTCAAAACTGTTTTGTTTGTTATGAACCTGCTTGTTCTTTTTATCTGGTTTTCTTTTCCACTTTCTTTGATACCTATTTTGTTCTTGTTCTTGTTGTTGCTGTCGCTGCCAACACTCTTCATCAGGTGGTGATGTTGATGCAAATTTTTCTGCATAATTACATAAATTATTTTACAAATTTGAAAGAATCACATAAAATCAGGGTCTGAAGACTACTACTACTACTACCACTACCACCATGTGTAAGAGACAATATTACCATGATTCATAGTAACGTTACAGCCAGACTCGTTACTAAGTATCACTTAGATGACATTATCATGACCCAGAGCAATGTTACAGTCACACTAGTTGTCACCAAGTATCACCAAGTACCACAAAGATGGGATGAGTTTACCCAGGGTGATGTATAATTGTAATTTTTAGTAACTGTCACAGTTGCTACAACTTCTCAGAATATGTCTTAGTAAACATATGATAAAACTTATTTTGCTATCAGTTTTCTGTATGTATTCATACCTTTAGCTTTTTGTAGACTGTCGTCATTATAATCTTCATCACTGCTACTAGTTCCATAGGAAGCGGCTAGAGATCCCAGTGTTCCTACTGACACCTTCCTCAAAGGTGACTTGACGTTCATATCCTGATCTGAATATACAGTATAAACACTAATATTAGTGTAATATATTGATAACAGTTGGTATATAGAAGTTAAACTAAAGAAGATAGTTGCCTGTTTGGGCAGAATTTACTTAGTTTATATACTGATGAGGGAATCCTCAGTGTGGATTGAGAGCATAGCCTTCCTGAAGCAACTTGACATATTGAAAAAATGCAATGTCTTTTAAGGTGTAAATCCATCATGGAAACATGGTGTAGGCAAGGCACAAGAGTGAATAGGCATTCAAGTTTTGCATAACTTTAGACATTTAGACATTATAGTCACTACTGTAAATTTTCTAATCTAGGCATCAATTTTGGTTGGTAAACTGCACCATTTTTTTTTAATCAAAAAATTATTGAAAAAGATTTTACCCATTCACACTAATCACGATAAACATTGTACTATTGAATAGGTGTCAGTGGCTATGAAAAAAAAACACCAAAATTATACTAAATTATACTAATGTATTTACGGTATACAACAAGCCAAGATGAAGCAACGTTTCCCTTCATACTTGTAAACCTACCTTCAACAAGAATAGAAGATAGAGGATCACCTACAGATTCAATTCGGTCATTTTTCATCCCACAATCCTTTGCATTTATTTTAAGTCTTTTCAGGGAACTTTCTTCTGTTAGTTCTGTGGCTCCCTGGGATTTTCTTTTTGATGGACTCTTTCTTCCATCGTCATTTCCATGGCAATTGCCATTTTGCTTGAAATTATTTCCTTTCTGATATCTTTGATTTTTATGTTGTCGACCTCTGTTGAACCTTCCCATTTTACTAGAAATTTACAGACCATACTACAGTTAGAATGGCTTTACAAAGCAATAGAAAATTTTATCTGTGATGAGTGACAGCAGATATTAGCTATCCTGGTAAATAGATAGATACTCATAAAATTGTCAAATAAGAGGAAAGATAGACGTAGCGAATCCTGTTGATGGAAAATTAATTTTCAGAAATTTACAATTAAAGTTTACAACACAATGAAGTTTATTCCAATTTTCAAAACAGAGTTATCGAAATGACCACATATCGGTACTTGCTTATGTACTGGTACTGGGTTATTTTTGCTTGGCAAATTACAAGAGACAATTGTCAAGAGATGATTAATCAGGTTAATAATTAACCATTAAGTATGATTAATAAATGTTGACATAGACGCCAAAGTATCAGAGCTATAATAATAGTACATATTAAATTGTTGTTTTCTAACTGTTTATTGACATTCTAGGCATTCAGGCAATAAAAAATATACCATATTAACCATTCACAGTCTGACTGAAGTGGTCCATCTGCATATATTTGCATATATTTGCATATATTAATCTTATACATCAGTACATATTTTCATACAAAGAAGAATTAGAAATAACCCTCAACATTACCCAAATTGTTTTGTCTCAAGAACACGTCCACTGTCTTCTTTGGACATTTGATGTTGCTTCTTTTTTGCCACATTGATTACGGTTGGATAATTTCTAAAAGAGAAGAAAAAAATAGACATTTATTTGGAAAGTATACATATCATACATATGTAACAATCAATTAATGAAAACAAAAGTCAATGTTGGGAATTGTCATAATTTGATATGCTAAAAGAATTTGTCTTAGTAATTTTTTGACCAAACAAAAACATCGTTTCTGTTTGAGAATTTAATTAGTAATGTTTACAAAAGATAGAAACATGACCTTCAATCTCTGTAACATTGACTAAAACAATCAAATAGGAAAATACCTTTTTCTCTCTTCTATCCAATTTCTAATTTCTTCTGGTGTATCCAGGCTACCAATCTTTTTGCTACCAGGACCATGCTGAAACTGGTAATGTAATTTTACTACCTTCCAATGTGCTTGGAATTTACACCCATCTTCTTCACACTATAAGACAAACACATTGAAAGTAGTACATTGTATTATTGCTATGCTTACAGTTGTGTGCTATATAAAGTATACAGTTGAATCTAACTGGCCAATCAGTGAGCACAGTGCACAATAACGTCATTTGAAAACAATCCATTGTTATTCAATCAAACCTCTCGTTTCAATTTGGAATACAATATTTATCAATATTTATATATATAAATATATATTATATATTTACATATATATACATATAGTGTGAATATAGTAGGGTCAATAATTTAAATGTATGAGGCATGTATGTTTTATAGAGATGGTCAGGAAGGAAGGAAAAGTTTTTTTTCGTAGTAAAATTATATTTGAATATGCTACCAATATGCTACTTGATTTAGATTGAAAATGGGTTTCATTTTTTTTTTATTCTGTTGTCAAGAAGTGGATTGCATATTTTTCAAACAAAAATATAAAATGTATCGGTACATAGATAAAATGTACAAAATTCCCAAATAATGCGAAAAATGCAAATACATGTATTAAACAGTGCAACCAATGCAACCCATGGCTGCAACGGATAGCACACAAGTGCATTGCACAGACCTAGAAAATCTCCATTCACAACAAGTACTACTTAAATTTGTTTTTCTTCTGTTGTTACTTTATATACCGTAATAATGATAATCATTTAAAGTCAATCACAAATACCTTGACATGCTCCGTTAAATGTTCATCTAATTTGTCTTCAGTTTTAAAACCTCTGTCACAAGTCTCACAGTAGAATTGTAGTATTTGTTCTTTCTTCGGTTTCTTCTGTAAAGTGAAATAATTAGGTTAAATACAATAATTTGAGATTAAAAGGTTTAAAGATTAAATAGGTTTAGGGTCTTGGCATGTTTTGTACTATGACATATTGTTGAAATAATAATTAATATATAATATTAAACTATACAGCACTATTGTACATTGTACCAACACCTGAACATATATTTTGTGTTGTAAAAAAAAGAACCAAATTCAATAATGGTAAAAATAATTCAGTAAATATTATCATTATCATTCAAAATACACCAGGTTTTTATGGATATTTATAAATATTTAAAAAACATTTATCTCAAAAGATTGTCCCATGTCATTCAAATCCAAAGAAAACAAGTGGCTGTAGAAACCATTTGGTAACTCTTATTACCCATGAGTCTTTGCGGGTTTCCTTCAACCATTGGCTGATTTACTGATATGAACGCAGAAGATAGATCTCATTAAATTTGTTTAAACCACTTGAAATAACATTGACTTGTTTGCAAAAATAAATTTAAAAGAATGGAAGTACAAGTAGCACATAATGTTAAATTGCCAAAGTGAGCCAGTGTTAATTATGGCACTGTTGGAGACAATTGTCTAGCATTGTTATATGAGGGGTTAAGTCTAAAATCTTTCATTTTCAGAATTATAAAAAATGATAATTACTTAGAAAAACAAGACTAGAATTTGAATAATCAAGAGTGACTTTCAGTGAAAGTGTTATTGTTAATTGCTACAACAGTTTTTTTGAGTATGTCCCTAACAGAAAACATTTTACAAAACCATTTCAACACAGTTACATTGCCCTTGCATAGGTATATGATTATAATCTTCATTGACTGGATATGGATTTTGAGGCCCAAGGTTGAGTGGCACGTAAGCCATAAGACCAAGGGCAACAAAAGTCGTATGTAGCTAGTCCATAAAGGTTTTATCATATACCTTATAGGTGTAATTACAATTTTACCACAGTGTGACCTCAAACACACAATTATTTCTTTTGATGAAAAACAAGCGTGCTGGGCGTGATACGAGAAATTACTGGCATATACGAGGACGCACTTTTCATAGTGTTACGAGGCCGTGCAATACAAGGTACATGTAATAATAATTTTATTAACACTTACACATTCCCCGGAGGGATTGGCAATGGTTACAAAAGTTTAAAAAGGAATAAAAGGTTACAAAACAGAAAATAGATAAGAAAAAAAACAAAAAAAAACAATCTAAGCTAATACATTACAGATAATAGCTAGTATAAAATTATGATACTACGATAGATAGAAAACAAAATGCAAAACTCAAGTAGTGAGAGAAGGTTGTCACTGGGGTTGCTGTCTTATTTCAAAACACTTCTTTAGGTACCTTGCTACGGGGAGTGTTAGGCCACTGTTGTTTAGCAAGGCTATGAATTGAGTCTTTAGCGGCAAATTTTTAAAGTTTTGGATTTTGGTTTTTGCTATTTCGAATAGGACATTTCTTTCGGGGGTATATCTTTTACATGACATCATGAGGTGATACTCATCTTCTACTTCATTTTTATCACAAAGGTTGCATAATCTATTAGCAAGGGGGATTCCTTTGTGTCTGCCAGTCTCAATTTTCAAGTTATGGTCACTGAGGCGGAATTTAGTTAAATTTTCGCGCATATCAATGTTTTTCAGGTAACAAGGTATGTTTAGAAAGCAAAATTGTTTTTAATTCTCTGTATGTTCTTAATTTATTTTTTTCATTTTGTTTTGATCGATTGTCATTATGTAATTCACTTTTCCAAGTTGATATGAATG